TGTCTGTCTTTCTGTCTGTCTGTCTATCTGTCTATCTGTCTGTCTGTCTGTCTGTCTATCTGTTTTTTCTTCCTGTCTATCTGTCCGTCTCTCTACCTGGCCCTGTCTATCCGCTGTCTGTTCGTCTGTCTGTCTATCTATATGTTTATCTATGTATCTGTCTATCTGTTTACCTGGGTCTTTTTTCCATCTGTTTCTCCATCTTCTCCATCTTTTTGTCCGTCCATCTGTCTGTCTGTCTGTCTGTCTGTCTGTCTGTCTGTCTGTCTATCTATCTATCTATCTATCTATCTGTCTGTCTGTCTGTCTGTCTGTCTATCTGTCTGTCTTTTCTATGTCAGTGTATAGCTATTCTGATCTAGACTTCCTTTGTGTTGACAGAGTTTGGCGGGTTGGGTGGGATCCTTTGATTGAGTGTAGTGGGAAGCAGGTCATTGACAGGAGTATTAAGACGAACAGGGCTTTGAGTTAAATGTAGAAATGTGCCTAGTAGAAGCTATGCTATATTAACTATATCACCTCTTTAATCTTAAATAGTAGCATTTTTAATGGAGAGTGTCCTACAGCCTGTACTGAGTTTATCTAAAGTCAGCTTGAGGGTTAAACACAGACCTCGTGCGACGAGCCTGACAGGTGCACTGTGACAGACTCATTCTTCCTTTCTTTCAGCCCTTTGTTTCTTTGGCTTCTTGCCTCCTGATAGGTCATGTACATTTTTTTTTTCACCATTACATTAATGAGCACCTTTCACCGCCTCATTCGTATTCAGTGTGGATCTTTTAGCCTTTTTTAAACGTCTTGCATCATGAATAAGTAAATACAGTATTTGGTTTCTCTCCAGTTAATTATATAAACGATGGTGATACAGGACTCAGTTCTCCTGGTGTGCGCAAAAGGAGAAAGAGAGCACCAGCCCGTGTGCCAGTCCGTTTCCAAGCAACCGATGAGTATAGTCAGGCATCAGTAACATTCTAATGATGCCGCACATGAAGACGGAGAGTCATTTGCCCATAAAAAATGCTATCTGCTATTGTTGTCGGCAAATCCGTCTGTGAATTTTACACATGCATTATTGAAGCCTTAGAGATGTTTTGGCTTGTTTACGCTCTTCCCACCGCTGTAAAACAACATTCCACAACCAGGTGTAGCACAATCCGAGTCGAGGTGAAAATAAAACTAGCTAATAGAGGGCCTGTTTGAGTTAGTTTATCTTTAGAATCTCAATAAGACCCGAGCCTCGCAGTCAATCAATGACTGAATAAATGATTATTTGTAGACTATGGAGTCCTGAGTGTAATAGGGAGTTCTATTGATTTGTTCTATTGATTCAAATCTCATCTGCATCAGTAAGAAGCTGGTTAGTTAACAGTGGGCAAATATACACAGCCTGTTTTAACTTACTTAAACATATTTCATTTGCATATTTTTATAAACCGTTTAAATATGTAGAAAGAAATAAAGAAATATAATGACTGGACTCAACGATTCATGACTTATCCATCAGACAAAGACACTGATTCGCCTCGCTGTGGGTGACACTCTGGCACCTGACAAAAACCGTTATTAATGACCAAGGAAATTCACCCTCTAGCCAGGCGTTAATTATATATAGAAATAGAGGTAGCAAGTGAAAGTGAGACAGGAGGGGGTGAGGAGCATGGTTGTGGGTAATTGCCACGTTTCATGAATTCTTATGATCGGTCTCTTTTCTGATGGGGTGAAAAAGCTGCGTAGTTGAATTGGCCGCGAATCCAATTGCAATACCCACAGAGTTCTCTGAAAACATCCCCCGACTGTGTGATCAGATTTGCGGCATCATGTTCGTGAATGAGATGCCCTTGCTCTGCGTCTTGCGTTACTTCCCTAAAGATACGAGGGAGAAATTAAAATCCATAAGTAAATAGATGTTGATGAAAGACACAAAGCAAATTGAGTCCCTGAAATTAAAATGAAATTCAGCGCCTCCTTTAATCTGCTCACGCTCCCTTGTCGCGCTTTACCGTAGGAGGATCTCCTCGCCCGTAAATAACACCTCCATACCCTGCTCGGTTTGTGTGTTCTTTTCGTCTATTGATTTTTTCGTGCAGGTTCCGGTTGTCAGGTGCAGAGAGGGTCCCTTTAGCGGGGGCAAATGTTTCTGACAGCTCCAGAGGCTGTGTGGCGGCGTCCACTCATCGCCGTCTGCATGCATTGCCCGGGTGATTTTTAAAAAGGCCACTTCCTGAACACTTAAACACCTCTTGACAAAAAAGATTCAGTCTCCATCTCAGAATCTAGTAATATATGTTTAATAAAATTAATGCATTGGTCTCAGATCAGGTCTTTTTGAATGCACAAAAAAAGGGCACTCTTTTGGGAAAATACTATATATATTTTTCTCAAATATTAAATTGGTAGATTTTATATAATTATTAATGTTGTTGTTATTGTTGTGTCTTTATTTATTTAGTTTAAATTATTGTGTACAATTGACTGAATTACTATTCTTATTATAATTATTTTAAATGTATTACTATTGGGTTTGCCATTGATATAGCATTTGATACTGATGTTTGATATAATAAAATAAAATCTGTAAAAAAATTTTTTTATAATTTCAGATTCAAAATTTAAATAAAAATAATTTAAATAATTTAATAATTAATTTAAATTAATTAATTAACCTTTTTCTTCTGGCTCATCTTGAACAGTGTTCAGGGAACCTTACACGGTTCGCGTGGCGGACCAAAGGTCCATGCGGGGCAACGTGGCCGTCTTCAAGTGCCTCATCCCCTCTGCTGTGCAGGAGTACGTCAGTGTGGTGTCCTGGGAAAAGGACACCGTCTCCATCGTCCCAGGTAAGACATACCTCACATGTTTGGGCTGTTAAAGTAACCGCAGATTTGAAATCTGTTATGTTTTCATACATTTTGGATGTGCAGTAGATCCTAAATAAGTAAAGGAAGCCTTGTTGCACCTGCAGTTTACAGTTTATGGGAAGGTCATTCTGGTTTCAAAGTGTGGAAAACAATGGGTGTCATTCGGGAGTCCAAAATAGGATCCGGTCAGCAACCTTAGGCATACGTAAACATTGTTAAATATTTTATCATATTTAAATCTATTCTGCACAATTCAGCACAGGAAATGCTAAAAATGCCAAATTCCATATGGTTAGAAGCTGTATGGAAAGCCTGCAATTCAAAGGTTGCAGAAACTTTGAAATAAATTGATCCGCTTTGCGCTATTCTGTGGATTGTGCATTTCACTTGGCAGTTTCGCAAGTTGCACAGTAGCCTTTTTCTCTCAAAATAATACTTTGTAAATTATAATGATTGTATAATCTAAATATATTTTATTTTGTAGAATTTTAAGATTGAAATGTTGGCGACCATCTCACTGGCTGCATAAGGATGTTTGTGTGTAAAAAAAATTGACGATTACAATATAGACAGTATACATGGAATGTATTGAAATGAGAATGTAGATTCACGCATTCGTATATCAGTATGTTGGTAGTTCATCGCTCAGGTGAAAACAAATACTTTGCTAAAATAAGTAGGCCTAATCTCTGAAATAGATTTTGGACTTTACAATTAAAGTTTACATTTGTGTTTTTTCATTGAACATTCATCTGAGGTGTTAAAATGAAAATGAAAGCCCCTCTTTTTGATTTTAGGCTTACACTAATATTCTCAATATGGTCTTGAGGAACTCTGTTAATCAGTCCTAATTAATTTTGGCCTCAATATCTCCCATTGTGTCTGGATGGAGTGGAAACCAAAAAAATAGGACAATTCAATAAAATGGAGCTGAATCGAGACACGTAATGCCCTGTCAGCACGGATGATTCTCACTCATTCCCAATATAATCTAACACGGTATGCGTGCAGCACAAAGATTTTCATGGGGGTAATGTCCATGGACGTTTGGGTGAGAATGACTAGCATGGTTGCAAATTCAGCCTACTTTAAGCTACGCCTCAGTATGTCTAACTAGATTGGGACCAGATGTTGGTTCGTAGTTACTGACAAACATATTTCACATAAATTACATGGGGGACAAACAGTTTGATCTTACAGTAACTTAAAAACTAGCTACTTTTCATGCTAGGTTTTTATGTCCGATGACGGTTTATGTAACATATCTAATTGTTAGATATTTTTAGGATTTCTGCCTCTAATGTAGCGTTATTTTGTATAATTTATATACCATTATAGTATGTATTCATATTTTAAATTAGCTTTTATTTTTTTTTATTTTTCAAGTTTTTACATTTTTGTCTACTTGTTTTCTTTTAATTAGCACAGGTTTTGTAGGCATCATTTATCTGAACTTATATACCTCAGTTTTTAAATGAAAAATAAGCATTATTTGTGTTATGGCAATGTTCACACAAAAACTGAGGTGCATAAGTTCAGATCAACGAGGCCTACGATCAGTTAGTTCCAAAAAGAAATACAAAACCTGTGCTAACTGAAAGACAACAAGTTGCTAAAAAATATTGAATCCAATATTTGGTAATTATATAGCATAACAAGAAATGTATAAACATATTTTGTCAATTTTTTTCAAGTGTAGCAAAATTGAAAAAGGATTTAAAAAAAAGAGTACAAAAACAGTTTTTCTCCAAAAAGAAATACAAAACCTGTGCTAACTGAAAGACAACAAGTTGCTAAAAAATATTGAATCCAATATTTGGTAATTATATAGCATAACAAGAAATGTATAAACATATTTTGTCAATTTTTTTCAAGTGTAGCAAAATTGAAAAAGGATTTAAAAAAAAGAGTACAATTTCTTTCTTTCTTTCTTTCTTTCTTTCTTTCTTTGTTCTTTTCGTTTTAGTCCAATGCGATACCATTAACTAGCATTTTCAGGAAAAAGAAAACCGTCTCTGGGTCAAAATGACCAGAACACAACATAGAAGTTACATTTTAATAATTTTGCTATGTGCTTTTGTCATTCTTATTAGTTAATTTCAACATTATTTTAAGTTTAGGTTTGTAAACTATTATTTATAATTAATTTCAGCTTTATTTCAATTACAAAAAAATATATATTTGTAATAGTTAGGTTTAGTTAACAACAAGAGCACTGCTCTAATGCTTTCAAAAAAATAAATAGGACACTAAAGTATATCGTAATCCTGAAAAGTTCTTCCTTTCAGGGGGTTCAACACTTAATTAGGTTGTGCAGACCTCCCCAATAACTCCCACCCTCTATATGTGTGTATGTTTGTTTGATAAATCCAGTCTGGTCGTGGACAAATGCTTTTCCACTTTATCAAATTCCCTCTAAAGGCAGCAAAATGATTCTGCCAAGAGTGCTTTGTGTGTGCGTTCAAACAAGGTAGCAGTTTTCTTGAGTAGCGGACTTCCTAGCTCAAGTGGCGGAGTGTGTGTGTACGTTTGTGTGAACCCTGGCCTTGTAGTAGATTGGAAAATCAATAGGTGCTGCTTACACCGGCCAAGTCAGATGGAATCAGTGACTAGAGTCTCTCTCTTTCTCTCTTTGCTCAGTTCATCTTTCTCAATGGAGGTGCGCATCTCCCTGCCCTTCAGCGCTCATTGATCCGCTTTATCCACTGTGTCAATGTGTATCAGTATAAGGGGTCTAGAGGTTTCCAGCAAGTATCGATTGATTACATGCTTGGATTCCCCTGTCTCTTGTCACAGATGTGGACGTGTGAGTGGTCATCCGACGATACGGGGCATTGTGGGAAAACATCCATAGGGATGTACACCTTGGCGGCGTGTGTGTCTGTGCGATTCCAGGCCAGCGCGTTAGTTGTTTTCTCCTCTATCTGTTGTGTTGTTGCTGACCGTGACTTCCAGCTTAATTGATTAAGCAGTCACTTTAATGGATTAACAGAAGGTCACACTTCCAGCTCTAGCAAACTGACTCTTACACTCTTTGCATAAAGATTACCCAGCACATCAGTCGAGCTAAAAAATTCAAATGATCTGCTTTAACATGAGCAAAGCTAACCCTCTGGTTTATCTTGGTAAACGTAATAGACTATAATTACATCGCTACATCGCTTGTTGTATTCCTCAACTGTAAGTCGCTTGGGATAAAAGCCTCTGCCAAATGAATAAATGTACATTTAAATGTAAATTATGTTATGTGGAATAAAGGATGGCTGCTTAAAAGGCTTCTTTTTACAATATAATCAAAGTGAATGTTGACTAGTGTCTTCAAGCTCAAAAAGATTAAAAAGAAAAACATCATAAAAGTGATGTTATATATACTGTGTATACTGTATATATATATATATATATATATATATATACTGTATATATGACGTGTGCACTATAATCAGAACTCCTGGATGCATTTGAAACCATTATATAAGCAAAAGACCAAAATGTATAGTGTTATTCAATGAAAATCTCAATGTCATTGACATCATTGAGAGATTGAGGGGCAGATTTAAATTTGTATGATTTAAATGTATTTTAATAGTTAAATTAATAATTATTATTATAAATATATTTTATTTATTAATTAAATCAATAATTCATAATAAATTAAAGAATAATTCAGATTTGTTTTAATTTGTATAACATTTTAATCATTCAAGTTGAATACATATTTGATTATAATTATTGTTACCATTCAAAAGTTTGGGTTAGTAAGATTATTATTATTATTATTTAAATTAATACTTTTATTAAACAAAAGTGACAATGAAGTCTTTTTCAATGTTACAAAATATTTATATAAATTATTTTTTTTCGAGCTTCCTTTTAATCAAAAAATCTTGAATTGTTTTTTAAAAAATCCACAAAAATGTTAAGCAGTACAACTGTTTTCAACATTGATGATTATGATGATGATGTTATTATTATTATTATTATTATTATTAAGAAGAAGAAGAAGAAGAAGAAGCATAAATGTTTCTTAAGCAGCAAATCAACATATTATAATTATTTCTGAAGGATCGTGTGACACTGAAGACTGGAGTAATGATGCTGAAAATGTAGCTTTGACATCACATAAATTACACTTTAAAATATATTCAAATAGATAACAGTTATTTTAAATTGTAAAAAATAATTCACAATATTAATTTTATTTTTTGAATAAATTTATGCAGCCTTGGTGAGCATAAAACATCTTACCATCCTCAAACTTTTGAACAGTAAAAAATGTTATCTGAAATAAGAATCTGAGAAACCTAAACCTGACACAAACCCCATTGGGTTGAGATCAGGAGCTAGAGCTTTATTGGAGAGCGCTTGGTTAAGAGTACCAAGGTGTTACCATGGCAAATGTCTAAAAGAAAGAGAAACTGGTAACACAATGGTACGTTTTATTAATGGTGTAATAGTGGTAGGGTTCACTTGTATGCGTAGGAGGGCCATAGAGAGTGTGTGTATGTGTGTGTGTGTGTGTGTGTGTGTGAAGCAGTAAGCTGATTTCTGCTGTGTGACTCATGTTTAAGATGGCAAGATGTGTAAGAGGATCAGAGAGAGCGGTGAGGAGTTAGAGCAGGATTTACAGGTTCAATTACACTGCCTGTCATTAGCCTACCCTTGTTTTAACTAGGAATTTAAATAAATAAATAAATAAATAAATAATAATAATAATAATAATAATAATAATAATGAAAAAGGTACACCAGGCCAACACACATGTTTTCCTCACCACCATCTCACTTTGGCACATAGACTTCTATTGTTCCTAAATAAAGCCAACTAGTATTATTATAGAGCAACCTTAAACTAAACCCTGACTTTAATGTGAATTCATTGTTGAAATTATTTCTTGTATTAAAATTGAATGTTCAACATTTCATTCTGAGATGCAGCTGCCACAGAAATTACACACTTCACTTTTGACCCTAAAATACAGC